GAAAATTCGACCGCTAGAAAACCCGATCCTCGGTTTCTGGTCAGAAAATGTTGTACACCATATAACCTGATAGAGCATACAATTCTCAGAAAGATAAGAGATCACTCCGACCTCTATAATGCTTTTTCAGTCAACTGAAGTCGATTTAGGAATGATGGCAAAGGACGTGGAAACTACCCGAAAACAGCCGGTGAAACGCATTACAGAATCCCGGGAGAAATTTTATCTTTCTGAGAATTGTATGCTCTATCAGGTTATATGGTGTACAACATTTTCTGACCAGAAACCGAGGATCGGGTTTTCTAGCGGTCGAATTTTCAAGAAAGCCTATTATCAACTTTTCTCAAGAAACGGCGATACGCACCTCATCTGAAAGAAAAGTCTCCGGGCTATTCAAAATGGTATTCAAATTCGCTCAAACCGTAACTGAAAGATCAAAATTAAAGCAGTTCCTCTCATTATGACACGGGGTGCTACAAATATAACACTCGAACGCTTCTTTTGCACATCTTTACTTTACTGACTAACCCTTCTGTCTGAATATTCTGACTAGTTCACGTTGTGGAGGATTTCCAGGGCTATCCAATGGTATGTTTTTGAAGAATACATACTTTTCATTATGACAGAAAACTTACTAAAGCAGTGTTTAAAGCACTAAGATAGATAAAAATAACTATATCCGCCGAGTCCCAATGAGACTCGATGTAACGGGTGGCCCAGATAAAACGGGCTACTTTTGTTCTTTGTTTTTGAGACATTTCCCAATGATCCGAATAGTTGGTTCTAGGCTCATTCGATACAGAATGAAATTCGCTACAAATCTGCTATTTACATCTCTGGCAGCATTTTTCTTATTTGAGCACCATTCAAAATATTGAATGCTGCCGAGTTGTCGAACTGTGAGAGACTGAAAATAGAAAAATCTTTTACTTGATCCAAAAATAGATTTCATAAGAATTTTGAAAATATCAGAAGACTCACCGGAAAATTTTGCATCTTCTCACATATTTTTCAAAATTTTGCAGTTAAATCTTCCAGGAAGATTCCTCTATGCAAAAAACTGATAAACCTAAACAAAACCTAATTTTTGAACCTATTTTTCACAAACTTTAGTTTTCTAACTATTAAAGTAGTAAAACGTTCTGAATTCAAGTTTAAGTCTTATTACCTTACACAGAATTAAATTCTGCGTCTTCTGATGTGTAAACAAAGTTTCTCAATTGAAACCACTAATTAACAGACTTAATTTAATTTAAAAAAATTGAAAAGCCAAATGAGAAGTAATTACGAGTCCAGCTGACCTAACGGAAACATTGTACGAAGTTGTGAATGATAAAGCATAAAATTCTTTAACTTTGTCAAACTTTGTTGTTAAACTACCATATCAAAATGAACTATTGAACCTCAGACAATGGGCTAAAAATCAAGAAAAAGGAAACGACAGAAGCTCGTTGCAGTTCGACAACTCAGCATCATTCAATATTGTGAATTAAGTTAAAAAAGTTTGAAAAAAAGTTTTCTCTTCGTATTTTATTATACTAATAAAGTAATACAATTAACTAAACGTTTCGATATGTTAACATTATCATCCTCAGTAGTTAAGAAACGAAATATTTTATAGATCCACAATCTAAAATTATAACAAATTTTCCCGAAAAATTTGAAAATGTTAACATAATATTATAAGAGTTGATAAACATCATACATAAGATTTATCTATATTTCTTATTATCTGTCGTCTCAGATCATACCTAGCATTTTCTTTTCTTTCTTTATCTGTTTGTGTATTCTACCACTGTCTTTTTTTAGTCATCTATCTATCGTTGGTCTCCATTGAAGACTGATTCTTGTTTTATTGTTGTACGATTTGTTGGCAATAGAATATACACTTTCTAACCTTTTTCGTTTGAAAATGTTTGACTCATTGTCGGAAATTACACTCTCTTCGAATTTGATTTCTTTTTTACATGCAACGGCATGTTTAGCTATCTCTGACAATTCAACTTTTTCTTTAGCTACGTAATTTTGATGCTGTTTAACTCTCCTGTCGAAACACTCACTTTCACCTACATACACTGAGTTACATTCGCAGTAAATGCCATAAATAGCATTTTGCATCTTATACAATTTTTTGATTCCTTTTTAAGTTGGTTGCATGCTACCATTCTAGTTTTATTCAAGATATCTCCTATATTCTTTGACTGTTTTGTAAATGTTCGAACATTTTCTTTCCTGAAATTTTGTTTAAGCTTTTCTGTCATGCCTTTCAAGTGTGGTATAACTACAATGGATGTATATATCCCGTTATCCTCGTTCTTACTGTTGTGGTTTTTCCTAATGTTTCTAACTTTATTCTTTATAGTTTTTGTGGTAGAATTAGGATAACTACTACTTAGCAATAATTGAACTCGTATTTAATTCGTATTTTATTATAATAAAATACGAAGAGAAAAGTTCAAACTTTTTTAACTTAATTATCAAATTCGTAAACAATTGTAGCATTAATTTATGAATATTGTGAATGGTGCTCAAACGAGAAAAATGCTATCAGAAATTTAAATAGCAGGTTTGTAGAGAATTCCATTCTCTATCGAATGAGCCTAGAACCAGCTCTTTAGATTATTAGGAAGTGCCTCAAAAACAAAGAACACAACAGACTGGTTTTGTTTAGGTCACCCGTTTTTAGGTTGTTAACTAAGTTCTGAGCGCTAATATTTTTCGAATAACTTTTCACACAAATGAGATAGAAACCTGTAATTTTCGCTATTGAATAGCCAAGCCCTTAAGACATGTTTTTATAAGCAGAAACTTGTTTCAAAGTTTTCTGAATGTCTGATTTTCCAGAGGATCTTTGGAAAACCAACGCTGTTCTCAGAAAAATAACATACAATGTTAGCAGTTTTTTGCATGCGTAGATAGTCCGGACGTTACTCTACAAAATTATGGAAGTCCTAGCTCTCCAGCTCTTGTCGTTTTGACGGGACTCGCTTTTCCCGAGCACGCGTCTATCTCCGAGTAGACATCTCTGGGAATCTCGAAATGCCATGGGATGTAGGTAATCGACTACGCTGAGCATAGTGGCAACATTTGTTTTCATGCAGAAACGAAAATAACTGCATCAGAGGCATTTTTGAAAACTTCAGTGTTCTGTTGGTCAACTTTTTCGGCTTGATAGACAATATATGGTGCCATTTAAGTCTTCCTGAAAATTTCCTTGAGTCAGCATGTCCCGCAAGTCCCGTCAGAACGACAAGAGCTGGAGAGCTAGGACTTCCATAATTTTGTAGAGTAACGTCCGGACTATCTACGCATGCAAAAAACTGCTAACATTGTATGTTATTTTTCTGAGAACGGCGTTGGTTTTCCAAAGATCCTCTGGAAAATCAGACATTCAGAAAACTTTGAAACAAGTTTCTGCTTATAAAAACATGTCTTAAGGGCTTGGCTATTCAATAGCGAAAATTGCAGGTTTCTATCTCATTTGTGTGAAAAGTTATTCGAAAAATATTAGCGCTCAGAACTTACGAGGGAACATTTGTAACTGACCAATCGTTTTTTTAATGAAATCTAGTGGAGTATAGGTAAAAAATAGTGCTGATTCCGAATATCGGCATGAGACGGCCCGCTAGGCCTTGCGAGTGCCGAATTTATGGGAAATCAGGTTTCCAGAGCCAGAAACTTTTTGTTCCAAAACTTTGTTTTGATCTGTCTCGATTGCAGAGCACGTCGACCTATAAATAAACCTATAAAAAAGTAGTTTTGGGGTTTTTTAAAGTGTTTTTGCTCCCTCAAAAAACCTCAGTGTCGGAAAAGAGAAGAAAAGTCCGTCTGACGGGCTGTGGAAGGGTTCCAAAATTCTGAGAACTAGTTTTCTATAGGTTTCTCGATGTGCTCTACAATCGAGACAGATTAGAAAAAAGTTTTGGAACAAAAAGTTTCTGGCTCTAGAAACCTGGTTTCCCATAAATCCGGCACTCTCAAGGCCTAGCGGCCCGTCTCATGCCGATATTCGGAATCAGCACTATTTTTTACCTATACTCCACTAGATTTCATTAAAAAACGATTGCCAGTTACATATGTTCCCCCGTTAGTTAGCAACCTAATAACGGGTGACCCAGGAGGAGTTTCTATTGATTGGCTATCAATTAGCAACTTTATCAACTAATCGAGACTGTTATATGGCATGGCGATTAATTGCAATTTTGTTGGAATTGCCATGAGCTGTGAAGAACCGATTAGTCGGCTATAAAAACAATCAACTCAGAAAAACTTCATGAGTTATACTTATCGCAAAGAAACTGTTACCGAGCATGCGTCATGAATTCTTAAACACAATGCACTTAAGTGAACTCTGGCTACGCACGAAGTAGAAAAAAAAGAAAAATTCTTCGTTTATTTTGTTCTCGTAAAAGAACATATAATAAAAGAGCATGAATTCTTTCTTTTTTTCTTTTCTTCATTTCTAAAAAAGACATTAAATTGTAAAACACATTTTATTTTCAGTTTCACAATAATTCATAAAAAAGTCATGGGACACGGTATCAGTCAACACAGTGGTAAAGGACAGCGACATACTCATTGCCATGGGCAGCGACGACGCGAACATCGCCGTCACAATCACTGTCATCGTCGTAATCAAAATGCATGCTGTAACCGTCAGCCTATACAACAAAATTATGAACCAGTTTTAGCAGCTACTTTTCAACAATATCCCTCTGCTCTACCTCCAACTGCACCCCCTTATGAGACACCACCTCCACCATATAGCTCACTGCAACCACCAGCGTATCGATATGAATAGTGAATATGAACAACATTGACAGATCGATTTTTTCTTAAGTATGTTACAGATTATAGTGGGAACGTGAAATAAAATTACAGTACTGTAGATAGATTTTTCAGAATTAAACTTTATCAACGTAAGAAAATCTTCTTTTTGTGGAATTATAAAAGCAGTTAGGAGGGTTTCATTATGTACGAAATGTAATAAAAAAGTAGTATAAACAATATGGCATGTTTGCTAATGCTTTTTGATGTTAATGCTATACAAGAGCAATTATTTCTAACAAGGGAACCTTTCCCGGTGTCACGCTTCGATTTTCTTCGTTCATATGTCGGTCGACAGAGGCCATCGAGCTGGTAAAAAGCCTAAAAGGATTTGGGCGGAGGCCTCTTCCTTAAAATCTTAGGGGCAATTTTCTATTTTTCCTAGTTAAAGTAGCGAAAAATCGAAAATCTTACAATTCACGAGGGAACCTCACCAACTGATACCCTCTGTTTGAGCTCATACTCTACTCATAGGTAGGACTCATAGTGTAGATAAAAACTCTAAAAGGATTCATCCCCTTGACTCTTGAAGACCTGGTTTTCTGGAAAAACAGTTTTTCAGAAACTCTAAAAAATAACCAAAACCTTTTCTTA